CATATACAGAGAAGGTAAAGTCTAAAAATGACCCCCAAAGACTTCAATTTGTAAATTAGGTATCTGTTTTTAAGAACAACCAAAACTGTCAATTCAACCAAATATAAAACTACTAACTTCACTACTAAAGATAAGAAATAATCTTCTTTTTATTTAACAGTATACAAAAGTGAGTTAAGTTTTTAGATCTCCAGTGCGAGGCAATTGAAGGGTAAGAATTTTCACATTGTTGGTGTTCAACGCTTTACAAATTTGTATTATTTAAGATCCATGAAGCTGTGAAAGCCGCAAATCAGTTATTTTTGAGGAAATCTGACCCACAATTTGCTGAAAATTATGTAACTATATAAACACTCAAGAGATTTCTCTATGAGTTCCGCATATAAACTAAAATAAAACCATGGTTCTCTAGTCTCCCTATTTTTTTTTTTTTTTTTAACGCTTTACCACTACTTCATTTTGCAAGTAGCTTTCATTCCATGGACACCACCAAAGATCCAATCAACTATTTGAGCATAAGCCTCTGCCTAGCAGACTGTCATCAGTACAAAGTCCCCCAAATAATAAATGAACTTTTTATTAACTGTGGTAACATTAACATTACAATGAGGGATTGTTTAAAAACAAGTTGTACTGCTGTTGCTCAAGAGCTCAAAGAAAATGGTTCTCAGTTCCTTTATTTTTCCTTGAGGGTAACCACAGGGGTTGCATTAAATCTTTTAAAATATGTTGACAGTTGAATAAGTGCTGCTGTTGCTCTGGTGACATTTTATGCTTTTTAATTGTCATTAATGAAGCTGATTGATACTTTCTTAAAAGTGCTTTACGTGTTCTAGCAATTTTATGACAAAAAGAGGAACAAAACCGTCTGCAAATTAGCCTTGATCCATTTCTCATATGGAATTTTCACCGGAGACAATGGGAGAATCTGCATGGGAAATATCTGCTTGACCAGACATTTTAGGTAGGAATGCATGAAATGTTCCCAGTAAATTGTGAAATTATCACTTGGTTGTGAGTCTCTGTATAAATTCAAAGCTCAAAGAAGATTTGTTTGAATTCATTTTCAAAAACAAATACTGGAACTTCTTTGACTGATTCAGAATCTGATGTTAAAATGGTATGGCCCAACATTTTAGGGTTACAATAAAGCCCAAAATACAAATGTGAATTGGAATGAAATGAAAGTTTGACACTATTCTGGAATCCAATAACTCCTTTCTTATTTTGATAATACTCCCATGGATTTGAGGAAGGTTTTGCCCCTGTAAATCTTGAAGGATACAGCTCCCAGGAATGCATACAGCTTGAGAAGCAGCAGGCACTATACTGGCTAGTTCATAAACAGATAAGGTAAGTCTTTTGCTATGGGGAGAAAACAAAGTATGGTGCTTTAAATTATGATGGGTGATTTAAGTAGATTAGGGAAGATCTATTCCCGGGACAAAAAGCCAGAAGAAGTAAGAGGTGGGGGGAAGGTATACTAATAATGTAAGGAGATGCATTGAGTCCTTTGCTTCCCTCATCCCAGGTTCCCTCACTCTTGCATGCTCCATGGTAACACAGCAGGTGATTCCCCAACACTACTGCAGTTGCTACACCACAGGCTTCACATCTTTGCAATTTCAGAAACAAAAAAAGCTGCAGCCATTTTTCTTTATTCAACTGCAGATATTGTACAAATACTGATGGTTCAAGCCACCACAGTTGAACAGGCCAATTAATTAGGTCATGACAAATAATTCCAAGCAAAATGAGAACCCCTTTGCCTCACACTCCATAGGCCTAGTGCCACGTATAACCACGTATATCTGTGCAAAGCATGCCATTCAGCTCCAGTCTGGCGTTTTCTCTCATCCCAGTAAATGGCTATACAAGGTGCAAAGCAATAGAAATCAGGCCTCAGGGTTCTGTACGACACAGCAATTTTCAAGACACTTGGGGTGCGGGCAGCAGTAAGTTCCACACTCACGTCAGATGCACATATAACAATCTCAACTAAGTCATGAACTACATTTTAATTAGACAAGGGGCCAGGCTTTTGATTTCAAAAATAGAAATTAGGGTTGCAGTCCTTCATCCATTGAAGTTAATTGCAAAATCCCTATTATCAGGCGTTTGAGGTATTACCCAGGCTTACTTTTAATTACATTTAGTTCTTAATGAAGTAGATGGAAAAGAGAAAAGCAGCCCATGACTGAAACGATTCACATTTTTATCTCTCCTGATGAACAACAGAATAGGTCAAGATACTTGCTGGATTTTCCCATGAGAAATGCTGCAATGTGAATAAACTCAATTGACTTGATGCTGAAGGAGCAGGTTAGCTTTGAAAAGCATCACTCATTTTCTTCTCCCGTATACATTCTACCCCCAAAACTTATGCAATGTAAGTATAGACACCAAGCCAAATACAATTCAGAACTTGAAAAATATCATGTAAGTAACCTAAGCTTGAATGACTTGTCTTTATTGTCTAATGTCATTTAAAACATAAGGAGTCCTAATTATAGTTTTATTTTCAAATGATGCATTTTAAAAGAGTGACAATTCTCCACAAAAACTGTCAACTTCTTGGGGCATAGAGACAGACAATAACTTGATATTTCTACATGATTTAAAAATAATAAGCTATGAAGCAGCTTATGCAGAAAGAGTATGTTATCACAGTTGGGTAGAGAACAATACAAAATTTCACCTTTTTCTCTTATATCAGTACCCATGTAAATAAATTAAGATTTATAGAACAGAAGTTCATACTATAGGTGGGGCCATTACCTTGTTATACACAACAACTTGCCAACTCTTTTATCATAATGAAAGCTGTTTCTAACCATATGAAAGTCTGGCTTTAAAATAAAATTACTGGTTTTATATTATACAAAAACCTCAGCCCTTTATTTCAGACATTACCTGTCATAAAATGCATAACTGATTTCTTACTTTTATGGCTTTAAAAGAACCATTAAAAATCAAGGACTTCATAATATAATTTAAAAAAAAAAAAAAAAAAGAATGTTGAGATAAATATTAGAGAATGTAAAATAACCATTTTAAGATAATCAGATAGTACTGCAAGTCTCTGGTGACACTTACTTTCCCCTAACTTTCACTGAGGCTGGAGAGCCAGTTTTACCCATGAAAAAAAATCCTTTAAAAGTTAAAGAGAGGACAAATGACATGCAACTACTGTACCCGATATTGCAGAAGCGAGCTGTAACCGAGGCAGTGCAGCAGGGTTACATCCAGGAACCCGAGAGCCAAGGCTGTGTCCCCAGGGCTGGCTCAGGGTGGCAGAGATCTTATGGCCCAAGAACCTCACCAGACAAAGGGGTTGCCATGACATAAAGCTGTCATAACCTCTTTTAAAGGAATGAGGGTCAACCTCTGTTCAGAGAGGGACAAAGAAACTAAGGTTTCAATTCACCCGGTCATTATTTTTTCAAAATACCTAGGTTTTGGGGGGTTTTGCCCTATGGATGGTTCTGTGTTTCATACTTGCAGGATACCTGTCATGAGCCAAGGAACGAAACGCAAATCTCTTGACTCCAGGTTAAAACCATTTGCCCCCCATTATGATTCTTTCCCATTCACAAGGTTAAATACTGCAAAACCTGAACACTTCCCACTTCGTGCTCATACCAGAGATTGAGGAAGCCTAGATTACTTTCAAGGCCACCATGGACACAATGTGGAAATGTGAATCAGCCTGTTCTGTGTAACCATGACAAACCTGCAGGTGTAACACACAACCACAGAGAAACTTGCTTCTGTGTTGAGTTGTGATGAATCAGAACCATCTACATTACGTCAGCATTACTTAAACAAGAAGAAGAAATTCCCACCTACTTCATTTGTCAGTTGCCACTTGGAATGCAATTTCTATTATAGCTTTTACTGGAGCCATGCCAATTTACACCTATTAAGTATTGCACTCATAAGTTTAGGGATCCATGATACACAACAACTTGTAATTGTACAGTATGCTAGTTGGTATTTGTGGAAGGTCTAACTTGGCAGGTCTCCTTCTGGATATCTCAGACACAAACGTATATAGTTATGATCATTGTGACAAACAGCAGTTTGAGATACATACTACTATGATTCTTTTTAAAGTGCTTCTTTAAAGACTATTCAGAGCACACAGAATATTCCCATGGCAGGTCATGGCAGTTGCAGGGCATCCCTGCACTCATGCACCAAACAAACCATCCTAATTGCAGACAGTATTGGTGCAGGGAGTAGCAAGCCCTCCTGCCTCAAGGACAATTGCAGAAAAGGCAGAGAGCTGAATAAAGCCAATGCCCCTATAGTCAGTGACAGAAAATTTCTGCTCAGATCTTACAGAAACTGTAATCCTGAAGAACACATACATTCTGAAGTGGTGGTTAAAATCAGCATTTAAGACAGGGATTAATACTAGAAGAGTAAGGTACCTTACTACTAAAGCAATACTGGGATAATTGTAGCAATAAGGTACTGCTCATCACTTCAGAAGTAAGAACACTTTTCTTTTGAACATAGTAATTTTGTTTGCTTGCTTACTATATGCTATGTACATCCAAAACAGTGTACAGAGTGCACAGGAATGATATTTTGTCAAAGGACTCCATGCCGTGCTATCTTGCTAAACCTTCAGGCAACCTGATTTTCAGAGTATAAAGTCTCTCAGTTGTGCACCAAATGAAAGCAACTCAAATCATTAGTAACTTCCACTACATGCCACATGCTATCATCTTTCCTAAGCAAAACTGAGGATAAGAAATAAAAGCTTTAGAATAAAGAGAAGGTATTATTAATTATGTACCTACAGCTACAGTAGCAATGAACTTCAGGTAAAAATCAAATTTAGGCTGACAAGTACTTTAGCAACACAAACCAAAAACAATAATTGTGGACATAGATCAAAAAGCCAATTTCTACTTAGTTATTGAATTTAATGGAAAGAAGAAAATGTTCAAGGATAACATTTGCTTAAGAATGTTTATCTTCTTTCTTACCGTTGAATGTTAAAAACACCCTTGCTTGAGGCTGGGAAGATCCTTTTACACTGCTAAAGTAAATAAATATCCCAATCAACACGTGCAGTGCAAGAAATGCCATCTCTTCAGATCTGCAACTTAATATCCAAGAAACAAAACCTGAAAGACAGAGATATCACATTACTGTTGTTATACAATTTTGTGGAGCAAAAACAACACTACAGAAATATCTGTGTTAGAAAGTTCTTCCAGCTGAAGCCATAATACATGGTAACGTGAAGAAGGTACAACACTTCTGTTTTTTCTTTGTACATCTGAAAATGGTTTTCCCCAGCAGTTTTCTGTGCTGGCACAAAAGGAGCTGTCTTCTTGTTAGTATGAACCAAGAGAGCCTGAGTTTTGACTAAGGCAGACTGCAGCATTAGATTCAGTTTATTTAAATAAGGACAATTCCACCTGCTGGAAAAATAATTATACTAAATGTCAAAGCAGAGCAAAGCAAGGACAGGAGATAAAGTTTCATGAATAAAAAGCTGGCTGATATTTTTAGATGTCTCTCCTTACTTTACATCATATTTGATCTCCCTCTCATGTTTGGGGGGGGCTAGGTTTGGGTTGTTGTTGGTTAACCCCTAGATCTTCTTTTAAGATGAAATCCTGACTATGTACGTCACCGATTTCAAAACCATTGAAGTCAAAAGTATTTCAACATGCTCGAAACTGTTAGTCAACATTTGCTTTTTGGTCTAGCCCCTTTTGGGATACTTATCTACTCTTGTAGACTTCTACAGAGCACTAAGAATACCAGTGTTGGACAGTGCATTACAATTGATACTTCTGCTACTTCTCCTGCACATCTGCTGAATCTACATTCATTTTACAGGGTTTAGCTGCTGAGAAGACTGAGCTCCTCAGAGAGTCAGAAAACACCTCAAAACAAATCTGATCTTTTCTTAGCTCAGGAAGAGCTTGAGCTCACTGGAGTCAGTGGCACTTTCCTATAATTTCCAATGGACTTTGGACCAGACCCACAAAACCCAGCAAACATTAGAAGCTGAATATTGTATATTAATAATGCTCCTAAACTACATCTCTCCAAAAATTCTGAAGTCCAAATTTCATTTCACTTATGATAATAACTTTGTTCTTCAGCTCAGCTGCAATAGTGAGAATAAAACACACCCTCATTTTAGGCCCATTCTACTTCCCTTCTTATACGTATTTTTTCCTTTTTGACGTAACAGCCCTTCTGCTAGGCACCAATTATTTGTTAATCAGGTGGTATATTTGATTCTATGGTAACTGTAAGCACTTTTAAGGATATGACCCCTACAGCTAGAAGATAGCTTTGAAAGCTATACATTTATTTCAGGAAGAGTTTTGTTGCCTTTGCAATCATCTTACACTTCTTTACCTCAGCTCTCCTCTAGCACTACAGTCCCTCCAGTGGAAGCCAGTATTTCTACATGCTTGTTCATTCAGTCCCTCTGAGATTCACACCTGCCCTAAAAGAACTTACTGTAACCACCACAGCATAGCAGGAATCAACTGTCAGGCAGGGATGACTTTAGGTCAGCACCAATTTGGGCTAGATCCACACCACTGACTTAACAGTAAATGCCCCATATCCCATTACCGATTCTGTCATTCCCTATCCACGTACTGTAAATCATTTTGAAAGGCTTCTCCCTGCACGAGAACTTCATACTAAGTTGGGGGTGGGATGGAGAGTGTGTGAGCAAGCACACAACTCTGTAGCCCACACTCTAAACTCTCCTTCGTGATTTGCTCTGGAGTGATGAGAAATGCGTGAAGATCAAGTAATGCTACAACTCCGTTAACTGACAAAAACACCAGTGTCAGAAATTTGCCGGCTACAGATCTGGTCTACGGGAGGAACATATCCATTCTGGCCCAGTTCCAAATTATCTCTAAGGGTCTGTTAACTAATAAAATGATAGTTGCAGAGTTTTTGCCAAGAATAATTTTTAAATAGGCTGCACGAAATCTAGTATTAATGCTGCTTTGTGGGCTTTAAATCTAAAGCCTTGTGACTAGCCCATGGGATATTCTTTAACTTATCCCTCTTCTAAGAGTGAAATACCATTAAATCCTGATAAAATTTCTTTGTCAGGCCAAAACAAATAGCCAATCATACAGAACATATGATTTAACAGATGCAATGGGATTAGTATTTACAGCAGTAGCACTGTGCTTTCTTTGCAATAGAGATAAAAAGTCGAAGAGGAACAAGTGTGTGGCTTTCTCTCTTCCTTTAAATGACACTGTAGGAAATAAGAATAAAAAAAAATCCTTTCAGCATGCTTTCCCTCCCACTCTCATGCCTCCTGCCAATTCTAGTGCAATCAGTTACAGGCGTGAAACATTGCTACATTTCATTGCTCAAACTGCAGATCTTCACCATTAACACAGAAGTGACAGGCAAATGTAAGATTCAAATTCTAAGATGCAGGGTTCCTACACAGCTGTTGGACACATAAATAATAAATGCATGTGGTGCTAAAGAGGTACCTCAGGGTGTCTGACATGTGAGTTACCTAATGGAAGCAGGTTTAATCTCAGAGATTTACATATCTGGTAACTGAAAACAACAAACTCATTGCAGGTTTGACTCTCCATTTGGGCTTATATCCCAGTTCTGAATTTATCTCAGTAAGTCATGATACTATATTCAGCATGTCCTGTGCACATGATCTCTGCTGACAACCCACAGACCTAAAACCTTGCAAGTACTTTTAAAGAATCTTTTAGGACAGACAAAAAGCAATGTCTAATTACATTTCTGCTCTTATACCCTATTCTAACTGTAAACAAACCAGCAAACCGCTACTAAAGTAAAGTGGTGAAGTTTTCCTGCCATGGAGGTCACTTTCAGCACGCTTATATTGCTTTTGGAAAGTATTATATAGCTTTACTGTGAAGTGCTGTGCAGGTGCCATCCGCCACAGGCTTGAGTCCTACCCCTAAATCCTGTAAGGAAAACCATTCAGCAGAAGAACGGAAAGGAAGAGGGGAAAAAAAGAAAAAAAGAGACAACACGCCAAACACAGACTATGCTAATCTGGAAAATATTGCTTTAACTATCTGTGAACAGCAGGAAAGTTCAACCATCAAACACATTTCATGTCTATTACAGCAAAGAAAGAGAACTTTCAATTATGCTTACCCAGCTATTGGAGGAAGCAGTAATACCGATTTCTATCTGGTTTCTATCAGTTTATGGACTCCACTCCTGCTACCAGAACATTTTAATTCCAAACCTGCCTCATTTTGGGGGGAAAAATAAAATTAAAAAAAAAAAAAAAAAAAAAAAAAAAAAGTCTCTCTTCCCGGTGGTTGCAAAGGTACTCCCGGCTCCTTTGTACAATAATCCTTACAGCTGGACTCCTAAGGCACCGGGTGCGCCTCTCCCCAGCCCTCCGTTACGGACCTCGGCGCGCAGGGCGGGCGGTGCCGGTGCAGGAGCCGGTTCCCAGTGACAGGCGCTGGATCCCAGTGACAGGCGCTGCCCTGCCCCCGCCGCCGCGCTAGCGAGGCGAGGCTCCGCGGCCCCCGGTGCATCATTAGCTGCGCAAATAGGGGCTGGAGCTCATAAATAATAGCGAGGCCACACCCCGCCGAGCGCGGTGGCGGCCGCTCGGCTCGGCCCGGCCCGCCCCAGCCGGCTCCGCTCGGCAGCGCGGAGCGGCCGCGGGCGCGCAGCCCCCCACCCCCCGCGGCACTTCGCTGCGCGGGGTAGGGGGGGCACAATGCAGTGAGAGGTTTTGTAGGGGAACCGCCCCCCCCCTCCACTCGGCTTGTTCCCGGTGTGGGGTTGGGGGGGGATTCAACGGCAGGTAGCCTCCCGCCCCTACCCGCGCAGTTTGCGCGCCCGCGGGGCTGGCTGAAGGGCGGGAGGGAAACTCGCCAGGAAAGTTGCTGCCCCTCGGTGCGGGCTGTCCCGGGGCTCCGAGCGCGCCCCGACGGCAGCGGGGGGGCTGCCGGCCCCGGCTCCGTGCCCGGCGGGGAACGGGGCCCCGGGGGGAGCCGGCCCGGGTGGGGGGGCTCCGGCGGAGCGGGAGCTGTCGGGGAGGCCGGTAGATGTCACTGTGAGGAGAGGGAGAGCGACCCGGAGCGCGGCCAGCCCGTCAGAGGGGTTGCTTTTCTTCCCCACTGAATTATTTCCTCCATTTGAAACTTTAGAAGAAAACGAGCGAAGACGAGTAAGGAAGGAGCGTTAGAGCAGTAGTTAGGTTTGTAGCTCACTCTCCCGATTGATTCCGGAGTTTTGCCACAAAGCTTTCAGAAGCTCTTTTGCAGTTTATGAGACTGGGAGCTGCATTTGCTCAGGCTCAGTTTTCCCCCAAGATGCTCCGCAAACTTTCTGGTTTTGGTGAGATTTGTGCTCTCATGGCAGTGGGACAGCTTTGAAAGTTTTACTCAAGGTGCCTTGAAAACATGAACTGCAGCATAGCTCCATTAAAGTCACTAGGATTTTCCGAACAACAGTACTTGGGTTCTGGGTTAGGTTTTCCTAAATTGTCTTGCAAGCATATTCTGTGCTGGTCTGCCCTGCTAGATGCAGATTCCTTTTGACACAGGATTGACACTTTTGAGTCAGAATTTCCACTTTTGCTGAGGGAGGTGGCCTCTGATCCATCTGAGGCAGTGGAGGCTGCGCAGGAGGGTACTGTCACAGCAATGCTTCAAGGGAGCACATCTCGTGGTACACTTGCAGCCGTGTCCCACATGCAGGAATATGTTAACCAGTACCCACAATGAATCAGTGCACACCTCAAGTTACAATTTTGTTTCCAACTATTACACACTCCAGCCCTACTAACCAAAGCAGTCAATAATACTAATGTGTTATAGCCAGAGAGCAGGGAGTAGCCTGAATACAGTGACCTTACTAAACAAATTTTGTCTATACATGTGGATGACTTTATGGCCTGCGTCTGCAGGCTTTGTGTAAAAGCTCATCTTCATGAGTTCAGGTCACACAAATTTAAGACAGTTTCTCCCTCAGGATTCAGTACCAGCCTAGCAAAGTTAATGCTTTCTTCAAGCAAGAAATTCCAGTATTATAAGGCTCTTATAACTTATAGTACCAGAGAACACGAAAGTATGGGATGTTCCTTCCTCTGAAATTAATCATCAGATTTGCAACTGATGCCAGAAAAGAAATAGGTCCAGAATTTTGAAAAGCTGGATCCACTTCAGATCGTATCTTGAGGATGAATTAGCTGATGCTGTCAGATGAACTAAACTTTCCATATCATGAGTCCTTAAAAATATTGATGCTCTTCCAGTTCTCCTCCTTAACACAAATAAACTATGCAGAAATATGTGAACATTTGCTGTCCTAGAAAGCAGTTAAACCAAGCCGCCAGATAGCTTATTCTCTCAATGGGCAGGCAGTGTGGCTGTGAGCATGATGATGCTCATCCTTGAAATGTGATGTTCAGACACCTCAGTCTGACAGCAGCACCCTGGCAAAAAGCGAAGTCACTTGTCTGCTTTGGAAAATCCCCACAGCTCAGTGCAATTAGAGATCACCACACCAAGCAACAGAAGTGAATCAGCTAATTCAGTATTCTCTGTCTTGCTGTGGTCTGTGCAGGATGATTCAGAGGAGGGTGCACAGAAAACCACAAAGCAAACACCAGATAACCTCTCTTTTATGAGATTTTTGAGAGATGTGTAATGGGTGGCAATACCAGTCAGACAAAGGAGAATGTTGCCATGAAATACCAACACTAAAAATTACAGTAATTCTAACTATCCTCCCAAAATATTTTTGCCTTAATAAAAAAATCTTTTAGGTAAGATTAAGCTCACAAGCATGGTCATAATTATATAACATTAGAAAATGACTACAAAAAGAATATGCTCAAGCATGAATCAACATCAGCATTAGTTAAACTCACTTGTGTTTGTCAGTGCTTTTGTACATTTGGACACTGGCAAGCTATCTGGATAGCTGCATTTATTTTTCACATGTGCTAGCTACATCAGAGATTAAAAGGTAAAATGGAACATGGAGGAAAATTATGGGGCTTTCCGACACTCCCTTAAGGACTTGGGTTTATAAAATAGCAGATGAACTACAAAGAGGCAAATGCAAAACTTTAATCTGTGAGATACCATCACACTCATATATCTGTTAGGCAAAGCAAGAGTATGCTAATTTTAAAAACAACAAGCAAATTGAAACAAGACTAATCATGCTATATTGATTTATTTGTATTTAACATGTGCATATGTGCAGGTCAGAGCATGATAATTAACTTTAAAAAGCAGTTTGAACTTCACAGCTGGGCTGAGTGAAATGGTTCAAGTTTTACTTTAGATGGTTTGTAATAGCATGTATTAGCTTCAAGCAAAACTCATGGAATGGAAATTACTTCTCCGAACTATGAGGTGGGGTTTCAGTCTTTACTGGCATGAATCAGCCCTGTGAGTGAAATGAAAAGTATGCAAGACACTTGCTTTCCATGCTGTCTATTTTAGAGGCTAACACGGGGGTGCGGATGAATAAGTTGGACTCTGCTTTGCAGTTGATTTTTGATCATTCTTCTATTACATAAAGTATAGAAAGTGGTATACAATTTGCTTCTAGTTCTGATTTGGTGAATGTGAGATTTATAACTACGTGCAGTTACTCCAGGTTGCATCACGTGTCAGGACAGAGTCAGGCCCTCACTCTCAGCTTCAGAGTCAGAGCAATTCTGACCCTTGAAATGTGACCTGAGCAGGCAAACCCTCATGGCCAAAACAAACAGATGCTGATTTTGTTATATCTCTGCGTGGTATTTGCTTCTTACCCAAACAAATCATCCTAATGGACCCAGGCCTAGCTTTAGACCTAAACACAAACTGAAGTCAGGAACGAGAAAGGCAAGAGTGTATTTGGACATTCACTTAACATTTTGGTCCGGGGTTTAGATGTTGTGTTTTGTTGTGTTTTGTTTGTTTCTTCCCATTTAGATTTTAAGTTCCTGAAAAAGTGAACGGATTGTAGGAAGCAGTAGGATCATAAGGAACACAGGTTTAAAAGAGGGAAGACAGAGTAAAGAAACCAGGATGGATGACAATGGCAGAGGAGGACATGGTTGGATGGATAAAGGTAGCACAATGGAAGAGAATCAAATAATTTCACTCACTTGGCAATAGCTACCCATTAAGAAGATCAGCAGATTCAATAATCAGTTTCTGCTTTGAACACAAGCACAGACTTACAACTCTGACAAGATCAAATGCTAGCTATTATAAAGAAAAATGTAGTAAAGGCATGATAAAATGACTGTCAAATATAATCCATTCCTTCCGTAAAAATCAAAGGAACTCTGTATGTAGTAAGTGTCCAGATTCCAAGTGATGAGAGAAAAGTGTCTTCTATTTCCTGTGTCCTCATTTATGAGTGTCAAATCATCTTATAGAAATGCAAGGTCATTAGGTAATCCAATTAGTCAATCTTTATTTATTTTCTTTCTTACAAGAACTGGGGAAAGTGTGAAGCATATCGGCAGTTTATTGTGGGAAAGCTATTAGGTGTTTGTTTTGAAGGTGTGGTAATATGAATAGCAACATATATCGTTTTTCACAACAAACAGTCCAAAGATTCAAGAGATAGTCAAGACCAAGCTACTGGTGAAACCAGTGTGTGATCAGAGATGGCCTAATGTCCTTGAACATAATGTGCCCTAACTGGTCAATGGGTCTATTCACCTGGGGCAAATAAGGAAGAGTGAGGCTTCATCACCAAGGTCAAAGCCTTATAAAACTGCTGACATGTAACTAACAATGAGTTGTCAAAGTGAATTCATCAGTTTGCTTTCTACTACTTCAGGTGCTGTGAAAGTCCATTTGCAGGAGACAATTTGTCTTTTCACAGCTTAAGAAAAATTAGGTGCTTACAAACAGGATCAGTGTAACTACACTGATGAAGCACTATTACCTGTATGAGAACAGAGGAAAACTTTATGCTCTTACTTTGATAAATGTCTTGTTGTCTCTAGTCAAATGGCTTCTCTGGAAGTCAGTGAGCCAGCACTTCATAGTGACTGTCGTTGAACAGACTGTGATGTCTGTGTGGTCATCATCAAATAAGTGCTTCTGTGTCTGTCCAAAAGATGTAAACTACTTCCTGGTATGCTACCAGCCCTTCATGCCTCCTGTTTTCAGTGAGGCAACAACATTACTGCTGTTTCTAGGAGAAGCACAGTGTTTTGTTCAGATTTTCCACCTTTTAGCCACTATGACTAAATGAGGTCAGTGATATAAGCAGAGTCACTGTGCTTACACAAAGCTGGGTTTGAGTTTTTAACAAATAAAACAAGTCATTATTTTGCAAGTTGATTAGTAAGAATATGTATTAGGAAGATTTGACTGAAAAGGGATGGGTCATTGACACACCAAGGATGGCTTCAGGCCAAGCAAGCTACAAACACAAGAAAGCACAAGTGCATAGAGGATGCAGCAGTGTGTAATCTGTGCATTGGAAGTACTTGAAATGAAGTTCCTGTGGTGCAAGGAGCTCTACAAACACACAGGGAAGTAAAACAGGAGTGGTTACGGG